ATTTTAGCCGATTTAATCTAGTTATAACACACCAAAAATGATTTCTTCGAAATTATAATATGAGATAATGATGTCACGATTTTTGAAATAAAACTGTTTATAGCAATTTAGGTTACGTTGGTAAACATAAAATTTAAATCATCATATCTCAAAAGCCGAATGAGATATTGTCATGAAATAAAAAGCATTTTAAAGCAAATTTAATGAATATTTAGTGTGTTGAAAATTATTTCTCTATTCCTGTAAATTTGGACGTTATGATTTTTTTAATTCATGTCTTATGACAGCTTAGTTTTATAACAATTAAATTTAAAAAATCATATCTCAAGAAGTAATTCAGATATCAAGTTGAAATAAAAAGCATTTTAAAGCAGATTTAATCTAGTTTTAATATACCAAAAATTATTTCTTCGAAATTATAAGTAATAATGTTACGAGTTTTTGAATGAAACTGTGTATAGGGTTGGTAAACATAAAGTTTAAAACGTCATATCTCAAAAGCCGAATGAGATATTGTTATGAAATAAAAAGCATTTTAAAGAAAATTTAATTAATATTGAGTATGACGAAAATTATTTCTTTATTCCTATAAATCTGGACGTTATGATTTTTTTAATTCATGTCTTAACTTTATAACGATTAAATATTAAAAAAATCATATCTCAAAAATTAAATGAGATATCAAGTTGAAATAAAAAGCATTTAAAAGCAGATTTAATCTAGTTTTAGCACACCAAAAATAATTTCTTCCTTTATATGATTGATTTTGTTATCCTCATTTAATTCAGTACTGAACCAATTTCGTCCATCAAATTAACATTAAAAAATATTTTTTTCTTACCTGCAACAATATCTCCAAACCCAATGGTTGTTATTGTAACGAAACAATAATAAACGGCAACATCATAATCCCATTCTTCAAAGGCCATGATAATAAAAGCCGGAAGGAATATGAAAAAGGTAAAACCGGGTACTAAATAAAGTACTATTTGACTGATTAAACCTAAGCGGGTTGTATCGTATTCCATTTTCGCAGTTTTCCATCGTCTGTATAATTTAACAAACTGAAATAAAAAAAGTATATATTAAAAAAGAAAAAATTGTTTTATTCTTATGAGTCAAGTATAAATTTAATGTAAACTCGACCTATAAGAAGTAACAAGGACTTTTCTGTATATGAATGATGCAAATTAGTTCTTAGCAAAAGTAATTTTTGCGATATCTCAAACAATGCTCGTTTTATAAAACTAGGACACCGATTTAATTTATTAAAACCCGTTTTTTTAATGCATTCTATTTTTTTTTGTTTGTCATGTGATTTTCCATTAAAAAAATTTATTTTATAACTCACCGATTTTCCGAAATAATCTCCTAACGTTAACATAACTATGCTGTTTACAGAAATCCCGATTAAAGAGTAAAACATCATCACAATTCGTCCTAACATTGTGGTTGGAGCTAAATTACCATACCCTAAAATAATTATTATTAATTTTTATTCATGATTAAATGAAAATTTACTTGCCTACCGTGGTTACAACTGTAACCGAAAAAAATACAGCGTGATAAAAATCCCATTTCGGAGGATCCTCTTCGTCTGTTACGTTAGAAAGCATCGGTTTTCCGCAGTAATTGGTTAATTTTTGGAAAAGATCAGGTTTGGTATCCTCCATTGTTGAATTGTAGTGTTTATTAATGAGTTCTGTAACGATAAATAAAATTTATTAATAAAATTTTTGTTTGAAATCGAATTAATTAGCGATAACTTTAAACTTTCAAAAAAAAGTTTCAAATTAATACTTAATGACGTGGTTTTTTCAACGTTCAAATGACGTGATGGTGATTTAACCGAACTATTTAGCAGTTTTGTATCAATCTAATAATAAGGATAAACATTACCTAGAAATTTGTGTGGAAAGAATTTTTTTAAAGATTTAGGATTATATTTAAAAAAATCATATT